AGCTCCAACACATGATCAGACACAAAATCCACACGGGAGACTTTGGCCTACTTTGGCCACCAGATAGGTTTTCTGCTGCATAATTATATCCAAGACCATAAATGAAGCTTTCAAAAGCATCAGGACATCTGTAGTAACTCTCATGTGGATCAAGCCCACTGATTATAAGGGAGTTTATAACAGGTTAAATAGAGATACTGGTGCTTAAGGTATTATCTGAAGATTATATTAGATGACTAGAAAACTCCCATCTACAGAACAGTGAAGAGGTGTATAATCCAAGAATCTATGGACAAGTATTACAAGAACAGTAACATTATAAAGAGCATTTGGATAATCCAAAGTCTCCAGCACTTCCTGTCATGCTGTTCGGCTCTTTCTGCTCGAGCTGTGAAAGGAATTTGCAAAGAACAAGTGCTTTCATGATCCCAAGATCAAAAGATAGTGTGCTCTCACCGTCAAATGTATTTACCTAAGGATTTGCCAGAACCACCAATACAGGCTCTGCGGTGTTGCAGCAGTTTTGTTAAAGCCCCAGCTCCTGGAATCAGATGTTTAGGTGAGAGTCTTGGACTTTGTATTAAAAAAAAATACCAGAAATGTGACATTCCCAAAAACCTGACCACCAGAAAGCAAGTGAAAAATGTTAGTGCAAAACCAGTGCATACTGCATTTGTATGCAGTTGAGATGCCCAGGGTTTGCAGCATCTCTAATCTGTGGTGTCCTCAGGACCAACACAAAGAAAAGGGGGCAAGCAGCATTAAACAGCATCTCTGGCTGGACATGCACTGCAAGATCAGTAAGCAATGATCTGTTTGCAAAGAAAGAACTGGCAGTCAGACACAAAGACATGATCTTATCCAGTCAGAGCATGACCTACTCTTTCTTTGTCAGTAGTAGAGAGGAGTGTGACTAATTAAAATTAGATCTTTTTGGAGACATCTTCAGTTGGAATCTGCAGTCAGATCCGGAAGCACTTGCCTCACTCTTCCTGCGAGCCATGGCGCTGCCTTCCATGAGGCACAGAATGCACTGTAGAGGTGTGGCTCAGTAAGTCATTGCCATTGTTGCTAAGCCTGCTGACAGGCAGCCCCAGTCCCCCCGACGCCAGCCCTGTCTGCAGTGGGTTGCAGTCAGCAGCGAACAGGAGTAATGGCAGCAGTTGTTTTGGTCTGAATACAGGGTATAGAAGCTCCCAGCCTCCAGGCAGCATACTCAAGAACAGTATTTTACCACTATGAACTGACACCACGATAGTTAATGCACTTAGTCTGCACAGATACCAGCCACGCTCCCCTCCTTCCTTTGCAGATGTATGTCTCCAGGGGGCCTGGCAGAGTGGTTAGCCCAAGCTAAAGTGGATTAGCAACTGCACAAACTTCTCTGCCAGGGTGCTGCTTCTGAACTTAGAGAAGTCTCATCTTGCTTCACTTCAAAATGAAGCCAATTCCTCCAACAGCCCCCTCCCTATCTGATACTACTCCTCCTATGAACAAGCTCCAAGTGGCTTTGGAGCACAACCCTGCGTGCTCCCAAGTCCTTCAGGCACTAGTGCAAACCCCTCCCCCCGCATCCCAGAGAAAAAGCTATTCCCCCTATCCCAAGGACAAACAAGGTTTGTAGGACCCCAACTTCAGGTCAAATAATGCAGGTGTCCCGCTAGATGAGTTGTCTGAGTGCCAGCTGTTAGTGGTAGGAGCCCTCTCTGAGAGCACCGGGAGATGCTGCTGTGTGCTGCAGACACTGCACAGTGGCTCTTCCAGCTGGTTGACAAGTGGCTCCCCTGCTATCATAGCCCTCCTGGCAGGGAGCCGCCAGACACAGAACCAGGCTGCAGGGATGGGGAAATCATCCCTGTGCCGGGGCAGGAAGCTGATCAGCATTTCCTACTGCACCGGCTTCAGGCTGCGTCATGGGGAATTATCTGGGAAAACAATAGCCCCTTCCTCCCACTCATGCCAGGCCATGCTCAGTGACGCTGAAGCCCAGTCTGTGAAATCCCCAAAGCTACGTCAGCCACCACCTCCGTGCCTGGAGCCGGGGTCGGGCAGCAGCTCACAGCGGCTGGCTGCTTCCTCCTCACCACGCATGGACACCACCGTGGGGCCTGCTTATCTTGGGAATCTGAATGGGACTCCAGGGAAATTCCAGCTGTCAGCAAGGCAGATGGATAGGCAGACCAGGATGAGCCACCTCCATCAGCTGAGCTGCAGCACATCCCATGCATCAGGGGCATAAAGCCACCTGGATGCCTCCATGGCCCCAAGTGCCCTCAGGCAGGTTAGAGGCAGTCTGGGATGAGGGTGGGCTTTTGTGACCCATCCGCTGTGTGGTGGAAGTGGCCAAGGCCATCCCAGCTGCACTGACTTCACCACCACCAGAAACAGGAAAAAGCTGGAAGTTCTTCGTACTTGCTAAAACTAAACCAAGACATGAGGGTTAGGCAGCCCTTCCCCTAAGCAGGGTTTTCCTCTCCCCACAGCACAGTCTGAAGGCAGCCAGCAGTGCTGGGGGCTCAGAGGTGCTGGCTGCTGCCCTGCTGCCACTGCACTTACAGTACCCCCACTCCCCTGTCTCCTCCTGCCCCCTGCCAGGTCCCTAGTCAGAGCCTGGAGGCTCGGGATGGGCGATCCTGGATTGCACACCTCGAGAGCCATGCCAAGCGGAAACAAGATTAAACATTTCTCAGCATGAATGTTTATTCAGCTCTAAGAAAACAGGCCCCTGACCAAGCCTCAGCAAACGAGAGCTCTCTGGTCCCACGAGGAGAGATGAGTGGAGCCTGGCAGCCAAATCCCCTGGTCCCATCCTCACCCTTGTGAAGCTGCCTGGGGAGCAAAGGCCATGCTTGTGCCCAGCTGAGGGGTAGGCTGCTCTCACCAAACGTGCAGCAACAGCTCAGAAGGGGAAATCTGCATGGCAAACTCTACCCCATGCTATGTTTCAACAGCTGCGATCACAAGTATTCAGAAGTGCCTTTACTTTCACCTCTCCCACTGTTATGGCTTGGGGTTTTCAGCTATGGAAAGATCTTTTGCAATGCTTTGAAATAGGATTAGAAATTAGGAAGAGTTTGGGGTCTTGTTATTGCAGGGGGGTAAAACAACAAGCTGGCTTCCCACATCCTCTCCCTCCACATCCCCGACACATTCCACATCCATGTGGTAACGCCTTTTAACCAAAAACAGGTCACGATACGCCAGCACAATTCGCTCGTCTGAAATGCGATGTTGTTACTTTATATACCTATTGCTTCATGCTTTGCCCATACACGCATGGCCTTATCAAAAGCCAAGCCAGCCACACGCCCAGTTTCTATAGCCCCTGCCTTCTCTGTATCCAAGGAGATAAAATACACAAGATGGAAACAATGACATCACTCTGCAAGGACAACGATGACAAGGATAAGGACAGGACAGGCACTCAAGAAGCCTTGGGAAGACAGAAGTGGCTGTCTGTCTCTCTCATCCCACAGATACCCTGATTCACCCCCAGAGCTCCTCCAGCTGCATGTCTGTAGGTTATTTTTCATTTAAAACAAAACATCCTCATGTTTGAATGACTGTATCTTCTGTGTTTAGGAAGAACCGATCTATCCATTGCAAACCAAAAGATTTTGCTGACATTCTTGAGGGGTGACGTTAATATGTGCCTCACTGCAAACAGGGTATGTGGCCTTCAGGGAGCTGGACAAGCTTTGTTGGAGACAGTGCTGATGTTGACCTCCCTCGAAGCTGGCCTCTCTTAGCTCATTCCCTGCATGAGCTCACTCAGCTCAGAGACCTAGGCCCCATTGATCTCACTGTCCTACAAACACAGGGAGGGATAAAAAAAGATGACAAACCTTTTCCCACAGAGCCTAGGTCTGACAAGACATGGCACAGTCTGGGGGATAGAGTCTTATTGTTTAACTGACCAAGGGGCAATACAGACACACACACACCAGTGCATCGGTCCTAAGCTTAATTCCTGGCCCAGGGTCACCACAGGGCATGGCTGAGTCTGAAAGTTATGCTGGTCTCTGGTCACTGTCATAAGCATTAAAATTACCTAAGTCACCACATAACTTGCTCTCTTCTGCTGTGATCACTTTTCTCAAGAAACATTAAACAGAAGAGAGAGGCAGACATGCTATTTTAATCTTTCCCACTGCGGTGAGGAAAAGATGGGAAACTGACACTGAGTGATCGCCCTTAGGATCTGGGTGAGAAGTGCAAGTGAAATAATTGAGTAAATATACTAAGAGGGCTCTGTCATTTCCTTCCCCTGATGTTGCCATGGTCACTCCCAAAACAAAGCTGGCTCAGCTGCTGAGCCATCATAACCGACAGACTGCTACACCTTTCGATGAAAGGTGATTTTGTCATCTCTTTTGCCTCAGTTTAAAGTAATTTCAGAAGATAAAGATAATAATAATAATGAAATAATAATAAGGCTGTAACTCTTTCACGGGCAAAGGTCAGCTTAGACAATGAAGTCAGTCTTAGGATTCAGGACTTCAGGGAATGCAAAAGAGGTTATAGAATGTCTTTTTATTTTCCAAAGATGCCTAAAAGTATCTTAAACTTACATTCCAAGTAAGGGAAAATACTTACAGAGGATGACACAACACTTCACCAAGTATCAGCCTCCAAAAGGATTACAGCAATAAACAAGTAGTCTACATCAAATGGGGTAAAAAGAATGTGTAATCAGTGATCTTAAAATATGTGGCTAGTCATCTAGTTCTTGAGACAAACAGGACAATAACTTCTTTTGGAAGACCTTTTGAAAAGACCTGGTTATTTAACTGCACCAACAAAATGTGAAGAGGAAAGGAAGGCAGATAAGTGCGAGAAATTTCAGTTAAGCTATTGAAGGTAGTTTCCCACCTTCGACATCAAACTGTCTAAGAAAGGCAGACACTTATTTGAATAACTGCAGTCCCATGTCTTCAAAGAGTTTAAAGCTTTTGTTTGTTTTTTTTTTTCTATTCACATGTATTTCTGCATTTTTGAATGGCTGTGTGAAAAAAGTGAGATGTCAGAGGACCTTGCATGAGGACTTAAATGAACCACTTGGACTCCCTATGTCCTGTTTTCTTTGGTAAGTGAATTAATAAGTGTTCTGTACAAGACTGTTGCCAAGGAAAGCAAATAACACTGTTTTCACTGGCGAGCAAGTTAAAAAAACCTGAACAGCTCAGTGCTGCCTTCGAAGACTCAGCTCTACTCATAATTTCAACCAATCCTGTTGGAAAAGTGAGATCAGCATCTTTGTGCTAAAATTCATAGCAGTTTGCCATTTGGTATGTACATGCACAACATCTGCTCCACTCTGCTGCTGCTGATTTGAAGCAAGCCTGGCTGAAATCCCTGGTGATGCTGCGAAGACACAGACCCAGAGTGACTCAGCCAGTGCTTGCCATAGCTCTGGCAGCAGTTGGTGTGCTCCACTGACTTCATGCTCCAAGCAGACAGATCTCACCACAAACTTTACTTGCTGCAGTCAGCTACTGAAAAAGTAAGCAGATCTGTATAAAAAAAAAAAACACAAACAAAACCACCAACACAACCTTAAAACTTCATGGTGGTCATGGCACCTTTCTTTGACACAGTGGACTAGAATAATCAGGCCCTGTGAAGCAGCAAGAGTAAATGGGAACTTGTGGTTTGGTGATATCATGTCTTCCCTCTCACAGCTGAATTCCTTTGAGAATGCAGCAGGCAAAACCTTTTAAAGGAAAGCTCCATGCTCTGAACAATAGCAAACCCCACTTACTTAGGCAACTGCAAATGACTTCCTTGGCTTCATTTTAGGAAGGGGAATAAGAAAGGCAAGATTTCTGTGAGATCTTGAATGTTCCTTTTACAGCAGGAAATAACTCTTCTGTTAGCCATCACAAGGGTCAAAGCTTAATTTTCAGGCAACAGTTTAATCCTCGTATTGGATTAAGACAGTGGTGACTGCTCAGAGATAAGGTTTGTAACAGGAATCTCTCCACAGTCAGTTTCTCACCAAATTCTCCTGCTGAAGTCAGTTACAGGTTGGTGTTGTGCCACACTTACAAACTGGCAGCATAGGGTTATTTGTATACCTAACTCCACCTGTGGCCAGACCTACAACCAGCATTAGGACTAAGGTTAGGATTTAGGAGGGAATGTGCTCTACCAGCAGGATTATTCCTGAGACCTGCAAGTCTGACCTTCATAATGGCCTTTTCTTGGATTCTTAGAATGCAGGGCATGACTTGGAAGTCAAAGACTAGAGTTAAGGTTAGTCTCTCTCAACCGTGTTTCTTGCTGATTGCAGCAGGCTCCCTGCAACACCCCAGGGCTGACTCACATACAGACCCTCTACCTGGAGGACAGCTGACTAAAAGAAAGCTATTGATTAGGGTTAAAACTGCCATAGGAAATGAGTTTAAGAGGTGGCATTAGTTAATTAATATGGCCTATGTTTAGTACTTGAGCAGCAGTGAATATCTGTTCAGTTACCCAGGCTGGACTGGGGAAAAAGGTGCGGGGGGGTGGGGGGGGGTGGGAAGGGGGGCAGGGAGCAGCTAGGGACAGAGATGCTGCAGCAGTAGGTTTCTTGTTGCAGTTAACTAAGTTTAGTGAGCTGCACTAAACTCCTGTTTGGCATGTATAGTGCCCTGTGTCTAATTCTGGGGTACTTAGCTGAATTCTGTTTAATGGCTGGGTTAGGAACTTGGCTTCTAGGATCAGGTCTCCTGCTGAACTAAACAACAGCCCTCTGCAGCCTTGCAGCAAAGCCTCAGTGCAGACTCTGGCCCACTCCTTTAGCAAGACATGACTTCCAAGTCTTAACATTTGCAGCAGAACATCTCCAGAGCTAGAGTAGCCCAAGACACAGGCCAGATCTCAGCTCGACAGTGTCACAGACAGGTGTCATTGCATGGCCCCAGCCCAAACTAAGTCCAAATGGCTCAGTCTCACACTGTGCCTTGGCTGAGTTATGAAGTACCTGGAGAACACCACACTGCATTCTTAAGCCAAGCAACACACAGCCCAACATGAAACAGAATAGGAACAGATCCTAGGCCAAGGTCTGGACAGAGTATTGCTGCAAATGTGCTACTTTTGGTTCAGGTCTTTTCCAACCCAAATAGACCTATTAATGTTTAATTAATTATTATAGAATCACAGAATAGTTAGGGTTGGAAAGGACTTTAAGATCATCAAGTTCCAACCCCCCTGCCATGGGCAGGGACACCTCACACTAAACCATGTCACCCAAGGCTCTGTCCAACCTGGCCTTGATGCCAGGGATGGAGCATTCACAAACTTCCCTGGGCAACCCATGCCAGTGTCTCACCACCCTTAAAGAACTTCTTCCTTATATCCAATCTAAGCTTCCCCTGTTCAAGTTTTAACCTGTTACCCCTTGTCCTATCACTACAGTTCCTAATGAAGAGTTTTATCTCTACTGATTTTGCTAGAAAGATTCACATGGGATGTGTGCTAGGACCAAAATCCATGCCACTGCCCAAGTAAAAATCCAGAGAAATGCCACTGATTTTAGCATAGTATTGTAGTGTATTATATTATTTAGGTGTAATATGTATTATTATATTTAGTGTAGTATTTTAGATTTTTGCAGTGTAATCCTCTAAATCTACCCCAGGCTAGATTTAGCCCTTGCACAGGTCGCTGCTACTATAATATTTACTTGACAGAGGCAGCAGACCAGTGAAACAAGGCTATCAACAGGTTACAAAATCAACCTTCTAGACAGAGGCTGAAAGATCTGCCACACAAGTAAAATTGTAAAAGACTGATGTACTTCTCTCCCACTTTCTCCACAGCTAGGCTGCTAGTAAGAACCTACTAAGAGGAAAAAAAACAACAAACCAACAAAAAACACACCCCAGCAACAGAAAAAAGTGTAAGAGTGAATCATTTTCCTCCTCTCTCAAGACCTTTCTTATCTATGAAAATCATCAGGCTTAGCAACAATAGCAATGACTTACTGAGCCACACCTCTACAGTGTGTTCTGTGCCTCACTGTAGGTGTGAGCATGCAGACAGCAGGAGATGGCACCTCGGATCCAAGCAGACAGCACCTCTCCACAGCAGCAGACTTCTCACAACGAGGCAGGGAGTCTGTCTCCCAAGGTTTCTGAGGGACATGTGATTTCCAGGACGTATGGGGCATGGTGCTACCCCAAAGCTACCAAGGGAGCGACACATGCTCAGCTCCTTGGAGTATCAGGCCAGAAACCACGCTGAAGTTGGACAGGAGTATGCAGGAAAAGCACTCAGTTATTCCATTACTTACCTGTGGTTGAGAGGCCAGATTCATCTTATAAGGATGCGTCTTTCCCTCCTCATTTACAAGTGGTGACCAGACTTTTGACTCTGTCCTGCAACACACAAATTTTGAATAATCTGTTTTCATCAGGGAGCATCATTATTGTGAATAAAAGACCTAAAGTTCATCAATTTCCCAAACATTTCCGCAGTCTTTTATATAATACTATCCACATCAGAAGGAATCTAGACAGCCTCATTTTAGGCATGTAACTTAAATGACTTAGTTATGTTGTAAAAAGTCCTTGGAGAAAAACAGGATCTCAGCAGTGACTGTCCTGGCTTATCCTTTGGGACTTCACTGGCAACACATCAAGCATGGGCTCCAAACCAGGCAGTAAAGTTGGTGGTCACCCAACAGCAGAAGGTGGAGATATCCCTTAGATGCAGATCCTTTAATTAAATGGGACAATTCAGATTACTGTCTGCTTCAGCTTTTACGGATAGCTGGGAAGAGAAACTGACCATACAGCTAGCATTTTGCTCTTGAAGTTGGGCTGCCCTGGATAGCCTAGAAATATTTTTTTGTTTGGGTCTCTGAAATTTTCTTCTTATTTATACAGCAGTATCCATGCTAAACAAAAAGGCTTTTGGGAATTGTGGGGAGGAAAAAAACCAAAACAAACCAAACCCCTAAGAACCGAGATGACATCATGTGTCAGAGAAAGTCTACATAACCTTTACTGGTCTGTGGTCTGACCCAGTTACTCACAGCAGCCTGAAACACAAATGAAGGTCTGTGACCAAAACCAACCACTTTTACTATCATCATTTTGGAGTTTTGCTGTGTCCCAGAGAACAACAAACAAGTGGTGAAGAAGAAGAAGAGTGCTTCGATCTGCTTGAGATACTTTGTGGGAAACGTATATTACCAACATTTGTCAGAAGTACAACAGTAGCTGGTATCTCAGGTGGACTAAACAGTGCCACTTTTCCCAAGGTTTTTAATAGTAGGGAACGAGTGGCTGCAGTACTGCTGAGTGAAAACTGTAGTTCAGTGCTAAACATTGCATAATGCAACAACCAGATGGCTGATAAACTTTTAGGATTAGCTTTGAAAACCACGTCCTGTTTTGACAAGAGCCCTTTGTGGAATCTGCAACTGCAGATAGATGTACTTCCCAGGTATTTGTGGGTGCAGGGCCAGCTCCAATTTAAGTACTTTGCAAAACAGGAATGCTTCCACTGAGAATTAGATTGATAACTGAAAAAAAAAACAACAACCCAACCTTTAAACAGAAAAGGCTTATAAAAAAGATAAGGACAGAGAAATAGGTGACAGAGCTACCAGTGATAAATTCAGTCTGATCTATACCATTCTTCTGGAAGCCCTCCAATGCCAGGACATTTTTCAAACGGCCCAAACTTACCTGTGACGCACATGTACATCTCAGACATTTGCTGCATAAACAGAATTTTAACACTTACATCCAGAGGGCAGCTCAGTGGGAGGTAGCAGGAGGCAGCATTCTCACTCTGGGAAGAGGAGAAATTTCATTGACCTGCTATTGCCTCTACTGCACTCTGGACTTTACACAGAAGAAACCTGAATTAAGTCTGCTGTGGTGCACCCCCTTTCACAAGAAAGTACAAAGACACAGGTCACACCAGATATCCTTTACAGGCATTCAGGTACAGCAAACCTTTGATTCCAGGCTACTGCATCGTGCAGGACCAGCCGCAGTGCTAATACCTGAGAACCTGTCACCCAAATCTTGACATCTTGCAAGTTATGGCACACACAGACTAACAATCATTATCATTATCCAATCTAATCATTATTTTGTCTCAACAGCTGCTGCTACTGAATGCACAACATACCCCAGGTGAGTATAAAACAACCAATCCCTCCTTGCTTCTAGCAACCCACACTTTAAGCAGTTTTATCCAGATTACAGCTATCAACCCTGACAGTCACAGACATAGAGGTTTTTGCACTTGAAAATTATATTTGCAGAGCAGAGCAGCCTGTTGACCAATGCAAAGCCTTATTCCTTGAAAGTGTTTTGAACTCCTGTGTGACCAAGTTTCATCTCCTCTGGAAAAACAAGGAACACATCAAAGTATATGGAAATCAAACACCCTGCCAGCCAGGCTGCAAGCAAGTGGACATTGGCTGCTTCATCAAGAGATGAAAGAGCAGGTCAGAGAGCATTAAACACTTCGGCTGATTTCTGGCATGAGGCATCCATGTGCCTGTTCCCACTAGCAGTGATCTAAGTAATTTTGAGGTAGCATTATCTTTTTTACAGCAGCTTAATATTATCAGATGTCAAAAGCACCAAAAGGCCTCAATCAGACTGGAAATTTAAGCTCAGAGCAGGCCAATGTATGAATGCAGAGCAGAGACTTCTCAGGCACTTGCTTTCATCCCACTGCCCCCCACTCAGTGCATCTGAGGTGGCACAGTACACTGGTCTACATCATAGCAGAGACAGCTATGGCCAGCTACTGCAGCCAGTGGGGTTTGATTGGATTTTTTTGTGTTTTTTTGTTTGTTGTTTTTTTTTTTAAACAGATTTTTCTCATTTATTAGCAAAGCAAAAGCTCAAGTTTGTTTCCCAGCTTGCTGCCATTCTGATCTGTCACTGGATATAAATGGAAGCAGCAAGGTCACTCCAGGCTTTACTTTCAATCCAGTTTAAAAGTTATCCAAACAGAAAGGTTAAATAGCCCCCATGGTTGTCCCTCTAAGGCTGGAAGGATAAAGCTTCCCTTTGTCTTCACAACAGCTGCAGCAAAGCCCTTCAGCCACTCTCAGCAGCCCATTTATAGCCCCAGTGAAGCCACCAAGAGGAGACAGTTTTGCTTCCCTGCCTTTATCTAGCTCTGAAAAGGTGCATGCCCCATCCCACCACACTGCCAGTGGAGCCCATGGTCTGCAGATCATCAGTAGAATCACTATGGTTCCAGCTGTCAGCAAGGGTTTTCTGCATCCATTCCTGGTGTCAGTGCTTGCACTTTTACTGAAGCATGGAGGAGAAAGAAAAGCAGCACGTAAAACTTCACCTCCTGTCTCACTGCTAGCCAGGGACTTTCTGAAAGGCCGGGAAATGTGGGCATAAGACACAGACAGTAGGGTGGATTCATTAGGTTCACCATGTTTGTATCTTATCTACATTTTTTCATATCTTATTTATACGAAGCTGGGAACAGGCATCAGAGTACATAGCTCAAACCCAGCCTTCGCAATGGTGCCTTAGTTCACAGCAGGCTTCTACAGGTAGGGCTGTAGTAGCTTTCTGGAGGATTTTTTCCCTGATTTGGGAGAGAAGATACCCAGCCACAAAACCACCTCCATGCTCACTGTACCTCTGCCACAGAGTGTGGCCACGCTAGCAGGGCTACCAGACCTGCCTCTCCACCAGTAGTGGGGCTGGATGTCCAACAACATACTGTGGAAACCCACCCCATTTTGGTGAAAGCCCCATAGGATCTCACAGACTCCTGCTTAAATTGATGAATATTTATAATACGCTTTCTAATGGATATTCTTTCAAATGAGACTCCAGCTGAGAGCACCACTTAAACAGTGCAGAAAGAAAATACAAAAACATGGCACAAACAAGCCTGGAAACAAGTGCCAAGCAAATTAATCACAGGCACGTGGATATACGAACTTTAATGTGTTTGCAGTTTACATTTCCATGCTGTTTTCCTCATGACAGGAGAGAAAGCAACCAAGACAAGGCCAGGGAATGAGCTCTTTCATCCAGGCAGAAACCAAGACCAATGATTAGAAGGGAATTTCTCTGATTCTAGTTTGAATGGGGAGGTACTGGTAGGAAGGGAAGGAAAGAAACTGCATGCAAGTCAAGGCAGGAATCTGGAGAGGTATTCACAAAAGACAACATTTTTCAAGAAGCTTGGCTTGAACATGGTGTAATATAAACATTACAAGAACCTAGATTTTGCTGTCAATGCTTTGGTGCAGAGCTGTGCCATAGCCTCAAGGGAAAATTCAGAGCTGGAAAACGAGGGCCTATTTCTGTGCACCAGGAACTGTGTAAGTTCCATGAAGAAAAAAATGTCAAATTTACATTCCCATTTCAAACACTGGGATGGACATGACTAAGATAGCAAAGTATAAGCACGTACAGATTGAAAACTTCCCTGTAAAACACAAGGTTTGCTAGCAGAAAAAATGAGGAAAGACCTAAAAAATCACTCTTTGAACCCTCCCCAGAGTTTTTAGACAGGCATTTTAATAACCTTTAGAAACTAGCTACAAGAGCTCTCAGGCTACCAGGAAGGTACCTTTTAATTAGCCTTTTAGCTGCAACAACTGCAAAGTACATGCCCTTGGACTTAAACATGAGCAGTCATTTTTAGCAACCACCCATTAATGGAATTACTCTCTTTGGCAAACAGAACTGTACTCCAGCGGCATGCAGCCTATTGCCAATTCAAACAGCAATGCTAGTCACAACTTCCTAGGGACATGAGGCCCCAAATTCACTCCTTCACACATGGCCCTCTGCTCCTTGCATTTCAGGTGCCTCTTCACACAACTACTAAAACCAAAAGGGCAACTCCAGCTACACAGAAGCAGCAACAGAAGTTTATCATAAGCAGTTTCGTTATAGAGCTATGACTGATAAAACACACACGAGTGCTCAAACTCACACTGTTCTTCCACCAGCCAGCTACAGAGTTAACTAACTACTTTTGCCTCACCTAAGAGGTTGTAAACCACAATCAGTGGCAAGCTTCACTTTCCAAAATGACTTTGAGCTTGCCACTCCTTAGTAAAAGCTGCCAGTATGCACCCAGGAGGGCTGGAAGCATCACACCAGCCATGGAGAGGTTGTGAGCTGCCACAGAGGGCCAGGCCATCTGCATGCCCTAATATAGCTGCAAGCAGAGCATCGACTTTTCCCAGGGCCAGAGGAATTATTAGTAAGATGACAGAGCTGGAAAACTTTTCTTGGCAGGGAAGCAAAAAGCAAACCTAAATGAGTCAATGGATTCCACCAACTTCCTAGAACACAAATTCGAGTCTATTGTGGCTTTGTGCAACTAGTACCCAAAGCCAAAACCTGCAAACATGTGGAGCAAGCAAGAGTGCAACTGAACCTCCCAAATAAAACGCAGATGACATTGCACAGATGCTCTCTTCTTCTTCATAAGCATCTACACATCATCCTTTCTGACAATGCATTTAACATGTACTGGTAGCAGATCTGACTTCCCCAATTCCAGCACTTTTTAAAAAACAAATACATAACTTCATTCCTTGGCATCGCTTTCAGGAAAGTAACAGACTGTTTTGCAAACAAAACCGGTGCATTAATATATTATACGCTGGCAGCAGAGCTGCAGAAAAGCAGCTTGAAAATTGAAGAAAAGGATATTAGGAGCAGAACAAAAGGTTACATGTTTGCAGCCCCTTTTCACAAATATTCTTCTCTTATTACCATCCCCCAACCTGCCTCCAAACATAGAGGTTAAGGACAAACTCCCTGTAGGAACACGTCCTTTTTGTTGGGGAAGGAAGAAAACAAACAAACAAACAACCACCAAAAAAAAACCACCAACAAAAAACTCCAAACTACCCAGTGTACCTTCAAATTGCTCAGGGCTGCACAATTCACCACCCATTTGGTGACTAAAGCCACATGCAAAAGGCCATTTCTTTTAGAAACAACTTTTGCCTGTGCTTCAATGAATATTTGTCTGCTTTTGTACATGTGCAGCTAAAGGTACATAGATGTGCATGCCAAATTCATAATGAACATTATCACTGACATTGGTAATGCCTGGATCTTTTAGTTATCAGGGGAATTCTGTTGTAGGAGAATTGTTCCTCCTGAACCTTCCCTTGCAGCCTAGAAAGCCAATCGCATCCTGGGCTGCATTAAAAGGAGCGTGACCAGCAGGTCCAAGGAGGTGATCCTGCCCCTCTACTCTGCTCTTGAGAGACCTCACCTGGAGTATTTTGTGCAGTTCTGGTGTCCTCAACATAAAAAGGACATGGAACTGTTGGAACAAGTCCGGAGGAGGGCCACAAGGATGATCAGGGGACTGGAGCACCTCCCGTATGAAGACAGGCTGAGGAAGTTGGGGCTGTTCAGCCTGGAGAAGAGAAGGCTGCATGGAGAACTCATAGCAGCCTTCCAGTATCTGAAGGGGGCCTATAGGGATGCTGGAGAGGGACTCTTCATTAGAGACTGTAGTGACAGGACAAGGGGTAATGGGTTAAAATTTAAACAGGGGAAGTTTAGGTTGGATATAAGGAGGAAATTCTTTCCTGTTAGGGTGGTGAGGCACTGGAATGGGTTGCCCAGGGAGGTTGTGAATGCTCCATCCCTGGCAGTGTTCAAGACCAGGTTGGATGAGGCCTTGGGTGAGATGATTTAGTGTGAGGTGTCCCTGCCCACGGCAGGGGGGTTGGAACTAGATGATCTTAAGGTCCTTTCCAACCCTAACAATTCTATGATTCTATGATTCTTTGAGAGCTATTTGTCAAAGCAAGTGTCCTTCCCAAAATAACATCAAGTTTCCATAGGAAGTTGATAGTTTTCTCCAGTCTGTTGGACAGGTCTTGCTGCTTACCGCCACTAAAGGAAAATCAGAGGTAAGCTTGGAAGGGGTGCAGACTATGGAGGGGTTTGCTTGACCTTAGCATGTTACACTGACATTTACATTTCCTAATTGGGAAAAGAGGGGGCAGGAGAAAAGGGGAGAAGAGCAGCTCTTCTCAAAGATAAAAGATCCAAAACTTTGTTTTTCCTATGAATGGGCGAAGCTCAAAAATTTGCCTGTGAAATTTCTCAGTTTATTAGCCAGGTGGTTTTGAGTTGACTGAAGCACACTGTCTGCTGTAGGTCAGTCCTTCTCCATGTACCATACAAAACCATGGTGCTGAGCTTGAATTTACACTGCTGAAGTCAATAATGGAACCTTTATCTTGCTTTCCTGGAGAACTACATTTTTAAAAGCACTCCCTAGCCTTAAACAAAAAGCAAAATGAATGAACAAATACAGGCTCAGAAAAGAGCAGAGGGCTGCCAGACATGTTAAGTTCAGCAGGAATTTGGTGTATGCGCCAACACTGTTGAATACCCACTTTTGAGGCTGAAAACAGACCCTTCCAACTCTTCACACATCAAACAGTAAAGCACCTGGCAGTCCTTCTTAAAAAAGCATATTCAGGGAAAGCAATTTGTGGCTGGGTTTTAAGTCCTAGGCAATTAACAGATTTGCACCTTTGGGTGAAAAAGCAGACCAGGCATGTTTTCTTCAGCTAGTAATTTGATCCATTTTTAATGGTGACATGTGTTAAGACTAGATTTCCTGCCTACAATCTGATCTGAAATATTTTTGGACTGTTACCATCGTTAAGGAAA